AGTCTCCTGTTATTGCTGAATATGTCCCTTAATTATTGATATGTCTACAACTCAGTAAATATTAATGGAGAGGTATCTTATGGCGAGAACAGTGTTGCTGGAGGAGGGAGGAATATATAATGAAAGGAAAAGTGTGTGTTTAGAGTGTGACGGAAGAAAGGTTTGTTAAGGCTTGAGAAGTTAATGCTCCATCTGCTTTTGTGGAACACGGAATTAACAGTTCCAAAGCCTTTTTCCAGTCTAATTGTTTCTGGGAGGGCAGGTTTATGGCATCAGTTAGGAATACCTGAAATCAGTTGAAATGTAGAACTGTAGGCATATTTAGTATTAAGAAAAAAGACCTAGCCATAGAGACAATGTAGGTGTTACAGGTGTCATAGACTCTCCGTTACCTAGAACTTTTGAAAGTTTATTCTACACAAATACTTTGTTCTAAACTATACAGGAGTATTTCTTCCCATATAATGCTTTGGTCTACTAGAAAATCTAAACAGAAAACCCCCAAAACAGACCAGGCAAGACCCTGCAGTCCCAAATAATTGGGTCCATAGAGCACTGTGCACGAATGTACAGCTACTTTTTTTAAAAAAAATTGCTAGCACCCAACTTCTAAAAGTTGGCAAAGTTATTTACATATATGTGAATGTGTTTCGGGTGACAGAAAAAGATAGGATAGATAGGATTTACATTGTTCTTGTCTCCTAATCTGTTGTCTGGTTCTTTAATTTTTTTTTTTTACTAAACAAAGTGTTTTATTATCCTCTAAATTAAAGATACATACACTGCACAGGATTACTTGGAGCTTTCTCTGTTAGTGATCAATCTTAAACTCAAATGGAGATTATGTATATAGCTGCTGATAATTAAGACTGAATATCTAATGTTGTATTTTCATATGTTTTTAATACAAAAATCTGTATGCATTTTGTTTGAAAATCAGTCATATGATAGAGGACTATGTGGGTATCATAGACTGCTAAACTGACAGCCTAAATAATTAAAACCATCTACATTTCCTGATACTTTCTTTTCCCAAGATAAGATTATATTATACACAGAGAGCAGTAGTGCAGTAAAGAAAATGTTGCAGCTGTGGATAACAAAACATTACCTTAGAATTTGGGGTGTTTCCTTTATCTCCCAGGACCAAAAAATGTCACAGAGAGCAGTAGTGCAGTAAAGAAAATGTTGCAGCTGTGGATAACAAAACATTACCTTAGAATTTGGGGTGTTTCCTTTATCTCCCAGGACCAAAAAATGTCACAGATCAGAAAACGTGGTTATCGATCAGCTATTAAGTAGACAGTTTTTTTTTTTTTTTTCTAAGAGCACTTTAGATGCACTTTTTTTCCCATTACAGGTGTGTCTGGTTTGAATACTAGTGCGTGGTGAAGATGTCATGGCCACAAAGTGCAGGCCTGGTGCTGAAACAGCTTTGACAGCCGTCACTCCTATAAGCAGCAGTTTGTGCTTCCCAGAAATGCTGGCGTTAAGTTTGTACATGCTTAATTGCAGATCCTCAGCTGGTGCAACTCCCCTTTCTTTAACAAAGCGATGCCTTTTCTATGCCCAGGGAATATTAGAGAGCTTGTGTTGCAAGGGACTGGGTCCCTCTGTTCCTGAGTATTTTTGCCCTACTTCCACTGTCCCTCAAAACTTTTTCCTGCATATGCTACACTTTTGTTTTCAGTCTCCACCTTTTTTTTCTCCTTTGATCTGTAAGGAGTGCTAAACCTCATTTGTAACTCTTTCCCCTTCCACAGATTGCCAAATTGAATCCATTTGAACTACCTTCCTGCTCATATCTGTTTTCTGAAAGATTTTCATCACTGCCTGGGTGGTGTAGTCTTAAAATTCAGCCCAAGGAACCAGTTCTTCATGTAGCATTTTGGGGGTTATATATTAAAAAATGCATAAGCAATAAATCTCTTTTTGTGATTCACAACAGTAGCAGTGCATACTTCCCTCTGAATCAATTATAGATTTCATCAGTCCCGCTTTATATCTGCTTCTGAATTTGTTTTGAAATAGCTCTTATTTCATAAATGTATAAAGGGTATGGTAATTTGTCATTTCACTAATTTTATCTGTCTCCAGAAGTGAGATCTAGCTTGAGTTATTAAAAGTACAAGTGTTTCATTAATAAAAGCACATTTATTCCTAGCAGCTTGACAAAATTAGGGTCTCCTCTGAACCCTTACTCAAGCTTCAAGCCTTTATGCTTTGGTATATGTGAAAAAAGCTTCAGAATTATTCCTGTTCAGTGTTAAAATTTTTGAGAGATTAATCTCTCAAAGCTTTGTTTTAGGCATGGGGGTGTAACTGCCTTAATGAGGATTACAATGATAGTTTCACAAAAAATAGCAATCTAAACCGTAAGTTTTAAAAATAGTCAAAATTTTAAGTAGGTGATATTTCATAATGGCAAGTTCCCCCTTAAGATCTATCAGGTAAATGATGCACATATTTCAAGCTGTCTTAGAAGGCACTTTTACAGAACAATCTGGTGGGCATCTATTGGAAAAGAAAAGGAAGAAAGGAACAGTATTAAAAAAAAAAAGTTTGACACCACCCTGCCTAGACCTTTTTTCTTTTTCTTTTTCTTTGTCTTTTTTTTTTTTTTTTTTTAACACTGAAACAGTCAACTAAATATCTCTCAGTATATTCTTAGGATGATGCTTTACAGTAGTGCTTAGGATCCACTTTGAGCTGTTTACAGTTCCCACAGTTTTAAATCCAGAGATTTGGAAGAAGGACTTCTACCACCCGTGATAGCACATTTTCCATTATTCAAATAAAAGCAGAGTTTATTGGATTCAAAAGGCAAGATCTTATTGATGGTGGTGAGATAACAGCAGAAATTGGTCTGAAAAAACAAGGTTAAGTTATTTTTGGACTGTATTTTTGTGTATTATCCCCAAACATTTTTCCTGATTTTTTTGTTTTTTCTTTTTTTTCTAAGTAAACAATAGAAAATCTCCATTATTCCTGGTGTTATTTGGGAAGGTTGTGTTAACTTGTTTTCAGTATTTTAAAAGAGTTTGGGATGAAGGGGCTGTAGATCAATTGATCTAACTTTTATACTGGGAAGGCTGGTAGAAATGATACTAAGAAGCAAAATTACAGGATACATGGGTACATTTGTTATAGAGAAATATTGGGAGATGTCAGCATGGCTTTGGAATTTGTGTCAGAAATCTGTTAGAGTTCTCCAAAGGGTTTGCTGAACATTTGATCAAGGGAGATTTGTAAATTAGGTATAGTTGGATTTTCAGTAATTTCTTCTTAAGGTCATTTAACAAAAACTCTCAAAGAAGCAAAATTGTCCTGAATAAAAAGGAAATTTATCTTGTGAGTTTAAAAACTGGTGAAAGGGTAGGAATAAAGTGTCAGTTCCAGAATGGAGAAATTATTATTTGAGTCCCACAGGGATCTGTGTTGAGACCTAAGTTACTAATTTGATCTTGAAAATTGGGGAAGAGAATGAGGTGGCTGAATTTGCTAATTAGTTAGGGCAGTAAAAATTAAGGTTGCATGTGAAAAATTACAGGAAGAGAATTCCAATCACAGCAGTTTATTCAACGGTGAAGTGGCAGATGAATGCAAAGTAATGCACATAAGAAAAAATGGTCCTAATTGTTCATAGATAAGAATGGGTCTAAACTAGTTATTAGTCCTCAGGAAAAAAGTCTTAGAGCCGCTGTAGTCAGTTCTCTGAAAATCTGTGTGTAGTAATGTCAAAAATGCTAATTAAATTAAAAGAATACAGAATAAACCAGACAACACTACTATGCATTGTATACCTTCCTTGGGTACCTGTTTCTTCAGTTTCAGCTCAAAAGGTGCTGAGAAAGATGGTAAAAGTGATCAAAGAGGTGGAATGACGTCTGTATGAGGAATGAGTCAATAGAGTAGGAGTCTTCAGCTTTGCGGGTAAAATATGATAGGGGACCTGTAATACCACAGTTGGTTTAGACATGGTAGATGTGTAGTCAGTGTTTACTTTTAATCACAGTATTAGAATTAGGAGCATCAAATGAAATGAAGTAATGCATTTAAGACTGCAAAATAGTTTTTCACACAATGCATAATTACATTTTGGAATCTATTGACACAAGAGATTGTGGGTGCCAAAGGTTTGCATATGTTCAAAAATTAATTAATTGTGGAAGAAAACCTCCATGGATGCTTGTTAAGTACAAAGCTTCTGCCTCAAAAAAAAAAAAAATTCTGAGCCACAGGCTAGGTCTGGGAGAGTTTAGTAGGAGAATCACTCTCCGTACTTTTTCTTATTAGTTTCTTTTTATTAAGAATCCCCTACCAGTTGTTGTGTAGCATGTTACTGAACCAGATGGACTTTTAGTCTGAAGCTATATATCTGTGCTTAAATGAAACAGAACTACACTAGTTTATATTTGAATATTTGGCCAAAAATTTGAGTTGAACTCTGTATTTTTCATTTATATAACATATTAACGACCCCAAGAGATAGTGAATCTATTAAAGTGTTTACACTGAGTCAGAAGAGACAAAATTGCGATGCTTAAATTATAATTTATGTGTAGAAAATGGTATGGATTTGGGAAAAGAGAAAATATTCTTCCCTGAAGATATTTTATTCTATTTTGAAAGCAGTTCTCTGGGCTTAAGTTATTTCACTGATAAACTCATAAATAGACTACAAAAAGTAAGAATGTAATTTTTGGAACCCATATTTACTTTCCTGTGGAAGATAGCTACTTCGTATCTCATTTCTTTTCTTTTGATAGCATATTTAATACATGACTGCTTCATCTATGATGTGTCAGAAAACTGTATAAAGTAAAAATATGAATGTTTTCAAGCATAATTTTTTGTTCATATGTCTTTTAATGTAAAATCAACAATTGCTGCTTACCTTCTCTTTCTAAACATAGTTAAATTATTTTGCTGCCTGCTTTGAGAAATCTTCACCTATATCCTTGCTAAAAACTACTCTTTATTTTTATTCCTCATAACAGTGGCACCCACCTGGTCACTTCAAGTGGGGATACCACAGTGCGGATATGGGACTTTTCAAAACATGGATGCCTTCTGGTTTTAGAAGGACATACCCACGCTGTATGGGACTGCTCATGGCATTCCTGTGGTGATTTTGTGGCTTCTGCCTCCATGGACAACACAAGTAAAATATGGGATGTTAACAGGTATGGAGTTACTGGATATTCTTTATTAGCTGATTGATAGCTTTTCTTAATAACCACTGGTTTCTGTTTTAGCCTAGTGAGAGACAGATGTCTAGCATCAATTTGTGGATTTCACTTCTGGAACACAGATGAATTAAAGGGAGTGGTGCAAAAAACAGGCTTTGATGTGATTTACTAGATAAAGGCTTTACTAAATTGGAAACTGGGAAGGACTTAAGTTAAGACAGTGCCAAAAAAAAGTATTTGCTTTTATTTGGCATCTGTTATTCTGTGGTGGTGGTGTTATTTTAGGGTCAGAGCTTTGTGGATTTTCAGTATGTAATTTAAAGAAATAACCTCACAGAAATGTAAGTTTGTTTTCCACATGGTATTTGTAGCTCATGAGTATACAACACACTCTAAGGTTGGACAAATGGAAATTTATTTTATTCATTACATAAGCTTTGGCAAGGTGACTCCTGATTAATAAATCAATGTATACCTCTTCATTTTCTTTATTATCCAGGCAAATGCATTTTTATGAAGGTGCTTCTAGAATATTAGTATATTCCTGCTTACCAATTAATTATTAGTTCCTCAACTTCCTTCAGTTATATTTGAGGTGACATATTTTGAATAATTTACACCTTAAAGGAATGGAATGGTTTTGTTTGTTTGTTTGTTTTTTTCAAGCTGTTCCTTCTAGACTCCTGAATGACTTCAGAGTAATATTACTGACACCTCTGTGCTATATTAGGTTTGATTTTTAACAACTGAATGTCATCAGTCCACAGGCAAATCTCCAGTCTCATAGGTGTTTTCCCTGGTTCTTCATTATTGAGTCCTAATGGATTTTTCCATTTCCTGTCAGTCTTTTTCTTTGCATTTGAATGAGGTGAAATACTCCTTCAAGCTTCTTGTTGGCCACTGCAGGGAAAGAAGCTTCACTGAAAAAGGAAGGGAGACTTTCTTCTTTCTTTCCTTTTGCCTAGATCACTCCCTGTCTGCTGCAATTGCAGAGAGCCCTGCAATTGAGACCTAGAGACCTCTTTTAGGAGTATGCTTGGTGATTTGGGAGTGTTGAGGGGTTTTGTTGTAAAAGTGAAGTACTTCTCTGATAAGCATGTATGAATTGAAATTTTTCAAAATGTTGTAATTTAGCCAGATTTTTTGAGAGCTAATTAAAACACTGTCAGTATCAGATTTTCAGTCTTGCTTTCAAATCATGAATTGAGGAAGCATTAAATAATAATAAAACCATTGTTTTCAAAATGGGATAAGCAATGTATCCTTTCATGAATTATTCAGGATTATTTTGGCTAAACTGAGAGCAGCTGCTTAAAACAAAAGCTTGAAACAAATACTTAATTTTTATAAAATCATAGACAAAGCAGTTAAAGTTTGGCAAAGCTCAAGACAACTGAGAAGTGGGTTTTATAACAGAAATTGTCAGCCAGTTTTGATAACTTCCACAATTACTATCAGTAATAAGAATTAATGGTCAGTGTTTTGCCTAGGAATAAAAACACTAGAAATCTGTTGTATTGTTGCCTTTTTCTTAACTTGTTGTAGGATTTTAATACTTTGATCATCCTTTGTGGCATACTCATGACCATTAAGAAAGAATACTAAGAATAGCTTTAATTTTATGTCAGAATGGTTTTGGATTTGCATAGACAAAGGTTTTGTTTAGACACTTTAAAATACCTGCTCTACCAAGGAAGCTTTTGTAGTCAGAGGAATCAAAGCAAATCTTCATCACCAACCCATGCCTCCCACTCACACTCATTACCAACTCTCATTTCCACCTTCAGTGTATCAGATGTGCATTTTTGCATTTGAAAATAAGCGAGTAAGGAGCACAGCCATGATGTGAAAGGCAAGTTATCAGCATAAAAATAACCTTAAATCATGCAAAAATCTCAGTGGCTAAAGGGAGCAGGAGGTGGCACAAAAATGGGGCCGAGTAGGCTGAAAATAGGAGTATTTGTCTTACGAAATAAAAAAGCCTCACTTGGAGTCCTCACTGGTGGACTTTCAGTCTGTTCACAATAAAAGCCCATGTGTTCATTTATGTTAGATTACCTAAGTCCAAAAGAGAATTGAGCTCTGTTTAGCTAGTCTGTTTAGATGAATTTGTAAGCACATTTCAATGTGCTGTAGAAGTGTATGTGGTGTAGGCACTTAGGATAAAATGAGTACAGTGGGAAAATTAGATGCTCTTGAAGAGCTTCTGTAAAAAGGGATTTGATGACAAGATGTGGCTGTTTCAAGCTTAAGACATCCCACCTGAAGACCTAACTCTGCAGAACAGTCAGCTGCAATTGCTCCTCATGCCCATATTCAAGTGAAAAATCCACCCATACAGAATATATAGCAAGATCTGGAAATAAGGCAAAGGTATTGACAGATTAATCAGGCTGGTCGTTTCCAGCCCAGATTGTTAATTTGCTGGTGCTTATATACAGAAATGCTGTAGAAAAGAACCTGTAGTGTATCTTGGCTTCGCAGTACTAATTGCCAAACTAATTGGCTGAGTTTAGTAACGCTAGTCCTAGGTGTTTCCCAGAGTGCTCCCTGTAAATTTATGATGTGCCTGGATTTCTCCCAATACAAATGGAGCCAGCTGTGCTAGGTACCGTAGAAATACATAACATACTTCAGACTTCTTTACGGTGTTGGTGTGTGCAGCAAAATGGGAAGGTGGAACAGGCTTGACACAAGGGTTTTCAATGCTTAGGAAGATTTTTTTTTTTTTTCTGTCCCATCCTCACAGAGTATGTGCTTATCTAGTTGTCATCTTTAGACTTCTCCCTCTCCAGGTGTCTGCCAGTTGACACAAGCACTGAACAGGGGACAGAGCACAAGATAACATACTTGTGGTAGGACAATAGTCAGTGATCAGTTATTCTGCTTAATCTAGTGAATTATTCTTTCTACTAATAAGGAATTAACATTTTTATGAACGAGAGCTGCATTTCTTCCATAATATTACATATTTGGATGGATGCTTGCTTTCAAATTGAATGGTCCTGGAAAGCAGCATGTTATAGCGGGGGGGGGGAGAAAGAAAGCAGAATGAATATCAAAGCTAGAACTGCCACTTTTCTAAAAGAGATACGTTTCAAATAAATGCTACAAATATAATTACACACATTTCTGTGACGGCTGGCAGTCATCTTTTTATGCCCAGACTTCAAAAATTTGGGTTTATATATCAGAAACATCTTTTTTGTAAACACAGCATTTGAAATACCTTCAGTAGAGTTCTCTGTGGTTGAAAACTTGGTATCAAGGAAGTGGACAGGCTGCTGTCTTTTGGCACCAAAACCCAAGGTGCAACTTTCACAATCATCAAATCAATTATTGTAGTCCAAAGAATACAAGGTGCAACATCTCTTAAATAGGAAAAGATTTTCAACAGTTTTAATAAATTATGTTATTCTTTGCCAGTGATAAAATTTAGCCTGCTAATTGCTTGAATTTTGTTTTATTAGAACGTGAAACTACTGCTGATTTTGTTGTAGCTGTTGTTTTTTAATGGATATTAATCACAAGCATTTTTCTTTTGCGTCTATTGGAAGTTTCTGTCATATATCTAGCCACAAATAGCATTCCTACCAGGAGGATCATATGAGGTAGCTTTGTCACTAACAATATTGTTCTCATTGACAACTTCCAAGCCCTCTAGTTAAAGATATGATCCGAGTTTAAAGAACAAAACAGAAAACAAACAATTAAAAATCCAAGCACCTTTCTTCTTCCCTGAAGACACAGACATATGCTGAGATGCAACCATGATCCAAGTTACTGAAGGATTTAAGGGAGTCTGAGTTCTGGTGTTGGAACTTATAGATACTTCCTGCTGGGAGAATTGGCTGCTTTAAAAGGAAATGAAAAAGCAAATGGTGTAACATTGGGGGTGAGGGGGCGGAGGGACACTGAACAAGGAACAAAGATAACCAGTGTGCCTGCCGTGGTTAGAAAAATCAAAAAAACAAAACAAAACCATCAGAACACAGACATATCTGCCATCTTTACGGTTATCCCATCTTCTTAGTGATCATAGGAAGCGACTTGAACACATAGTGGGGGAAGAAATGAAGACGCTTATTGTTTGTCAACAGGTTTTTATTCAGCACTATAGCTCAGATTGAAAATATATAGCCAGCCATGTTAATAGCTTGGCAAACAGTTCCAGGATTGTTTTCTCAGACCATAAATTCAGGACCATCAAAGTAATTTTGGCAGGATTAATTTCAATTATCCAACTGTAAATATCATCAGAGATTTACAGCCTGATCTCTGATATGCTAATCAAACTGAACATCATATAGCTCATGTAAACACAGGTGGTTATTTAGTTTTGCAAACATGTGCTGTAGACTGTATGTTAAATGCAAACATTGTTATTTATGCTTTAAACTTGAGAAATTATTTGCACCAAAGTCAGAACAGTCAGAAATTTATTTTCTTCCTTGTTTATCCATTATATTGTCATTGGACCAGTTCTCCATTTTTCTTTGGTTTCTTTCAGTAGTGCAAAATATGGTGGGGGTAGGCCACAGAGAAATGCAATTCTGTACTGTCCTGCAGCAGACCTCAGGGTGAATAAATGTTTGTGAATTGGAGCCATTGCTGCTTTCTATTTGCTGTTTTTTAATCCATCACTTACTTGTTTTCCTTCTAATTTAACAGTAATTTTTGTCTAGCTCCTTGAAGTTTCTTCCATAATCAAAATTTTATTTTAGAATTCTAAAAAATGTGATTGTTTACATCAATCCTGTCAGTACTAGTATCATTTGGTGCATTTGTTCAGTTGTAAATTTAAAAATTAACTGATCTATCATGATCACTGCTAATTATTCTGTATGACCACTAATATAGTATCTTGTTATTAATATATTCTTTTACATATTTCCAAATATACACAAAAATAATTTTTGACAACTTTTGCTTCTCTACAGGACTGGGAATTTTCACTTCCTTACCTGGTGTCAGATGTGTATGACATAAAATTA